CTTTCTTCAAATATGGACATAATATCCAAAATATCTAATTCATCAGGAGTTGCAATATCTATAATAATATATATATCCAATGTAAATTTATTATATAAATTTTTATAAATCTGTAATACATGTGAATAAATTTTTTATTTTATATATTTGTAGAAATACTATAAATATTTTGTATAAAATTAGCGTAAATATAGAATTATTTAAATATAAATTTATGCATAATTTATAGTTAAATAAATTTTTTATAAATTTATACGTAATTTACGTAATTTACAGTTAAATAAATATTATATAGTTCATAATATTAAAAAAAAACAAAAAAGACTCCAAAAAATTCGTACTTACGAATCTTTGGGGTTTCTGCACTTCAGAAGCTACAATTTATATGAGTTTAAAAATGTTTATATATTTTATATATTTTATTTAATTTTCAAATATATGTAAAATTACTAATACAATATAAGAAAAATTTTTATTAAATACTATTTGGCCACATTATAAAAAATCGTTGTAATAAATATTTGTCTATTATAATCTATAATATTTGTTTATTTTTATTTTTATAACTCGGAGTGAATCGAAAATAGTACAAGTAAGAAAACTTTGTCATATATCACGTTATATCGCGTGTATCACGTGATATAATCCGCTAAAACTTTTTCAAACTCTTTTTTAGAACTTTTTAAATTTTATACTTTTTTTAACTTTTCCTTCGTTCGCCCTTTCATTTCCCTTCCTATCTTTCATTCATTCCTTTCCTTTCCTTCCCTTTCCCTTCCTTTCTCCTTTTCCGCTTCCCTCATTTAAATTTTTTTCCTATTTTAGGTGGTTCCTTGGACGCAAAATTTCTGTAGTTTTTCCTTTTTTTTTTCTTCAATTGTTTCGTTTTAACAAACAGTTTTAACAATTCATTCTTTTATATAGACATTTTCTCATATCTATTTGGATATAGGATTCTGGCAAATTATTTTTTTTTTTTCAATGATTTTATTAATGAACTTTACTAATCAGTAACAATTTGTTTTTACTTATTTTTTTTTAGGTTTGGTGGATTTCTTTGTGGTCACTGATTCTTTAAGTCAAGATTCTACTCCCCACTCCCAGTTAAACAATTTTCTATTCCCAATTTCAAAAAGAAAATCTCAGTCTGGTTTCATTTATATCCTTACTTATCATGCACATTATTATAATGATTCGCTCCATATTCTTCCAAATATTTTCTATCACTCCTACTTTATCTATATAGTTTAACAACAACTTTTCGTCCTCTTTATCCATATTATTGCCATTAACCTCTCCTCATCTAACGCCAAAATTTCCACATTCAAACTTCTCTTTATATTCTTCTTTTAACACAATCTCCGCCCTTATTGACTGGTATTTGAAAAACTTATTCACTTTCAATTTTCTAATTGTTTAAAAATCACTCAAGTTCTCTATAACATTTTCGTTTTTAATATCTTATCAGTACCAATAATGACGTCATTATCCTCAATTGGAATGTCAATCACTCTCTTCTCACAAGATTTACATTTTATTATCTTTGACTCCTTTCTATTTGTACACATGACAACATCTTCTACAGTCCATGTATCAATAATTCTTTTACAATCAATTTTTCACACACTGCGCTACAACTAACATACTCTTCAATTCAAGAATGAATTTCACATTCGGATATCAAAAAATTCTGCGTACTCAATACGAATATTTGGCTACCTCACTTTCCTACAGGCTACAGCTGATGACTTAACATCACTACCCCTTACGAAACCATCTCTACTAACTAAAGAATTACATTTATACAACAGATTTAATATTTCCTTTCTTCCTCACATTGACATACACATCATGGTGGCACAACTCCTGTTATATACCATATGGCATATACTGAACCTCAATCAGAAAGATGTAGCATCTCTCGCATCATCTTCCTAGACCAATTCACCACTATTGATGGAGCATTTTCGGAAACATGGCCAAACATCAAAGCTAAACCACAGATTCGAAACAGGAGGCACTCTATCATTGAATTACAACCATAAATTAAACAATCCCCTACGTTAATAACTTGCTTTACAAAACTCCCCATATATATAATGACGTTTATTATAGACCAACGAACAAATGGACCATGGATGCAAACCAATATATGGTAAAACTGTTTAACAAGTCACTACACCGGTGCATTATCGATTACGTACCACAAACACTATATTAACACATTAACACATGAACTGGAAAATCCCATGCCCGGGATGCCATCAACACGTACCTTACAGCTATGACTTACGTCCAAAATGTATAGTCATGGCTTGTACATCAACTCTAATCAATTTCTTGATTCACGTGAAATATTACCTACTGTACAAAAATATTAGATTACTGAAGAAAAAATCTGTATTCTCAGTCTTTTCATTGTTAACACTAAAAACTTTGGCTTTTAATGCATGGCAGTTTATGAATTCTATCCCTTATACGACTCCTAACTGCTGATATTGTAACATCAAATATAGATGCACTTATAACACATGACCAATGCAACAATCTTAATCTCAAGACTATGTCACCCTATTATATAGACCAATGTTTTATTGGGCCTGAAGAAAATCTTAATCTTTTGAAATAAATAGCAAAATTACTTCATACAAAAAATGATTCCAAATTCTACACTGACAGATCATTGATCATACGTACTATGAACTATCAGCAGGTTACTTCAATGGATTTTGGATGGGTCAAAATGTCATCACACCCTTTTCGGGCCATTATCTACAAAGGAAGCACCATTCTGACACCATCTTCTTGTAAAGCAGCTATCATATGTTCACCTGATCATAGCAATGTATGCATCTTTATGGATTCTCAAATATTGTCTCTACTTACCATAAAACTGCAAACAAATTATTTTAAGAATGCAAAATGTTAAAGATTAACAATCATATCATATAGCGACTAGTTATTTTATTAATAGATTTGAAACACATTAACCTAAAATTCACGAAGATCAAAGACCATTTCAATCTATCATATAACGATCTAGCAGATGAATTACCCAAACAAGGTCATGGTTCAGAACCGATTACTGTCAATCCTAAAATACTTCTGGGTGCCTTGATGATACCTGTTTGGGACAATATTGAACCTATAGATCATGATATATGCAAATTTGCAGCTTATATAAAAGAAGCTTTTATATTTGATTCTTTCACCTACAATAAATCTCTGCGACTTATATTTAACCACTTTTAACAGACTGATATCAATTAGAATTTAAACCATATCTAGCAAATACACAATCCCACCGATAATGCATGTAGTGACGAAAAATCAAGAATCCAAGTGTACAAAATTAAAAGTGCTAATCACATTCTACCTTGCGAGGAAATATCTTTTGGACATTACCCTGACCTTTATGGAACAACAGAAATTCTGTGCCCTCGATGTCATAACACTAAAGATTCCAATTCATATCTAGGTTTTTGCCCAATGATCCATACAGAAGTTGATGCTATACTCAATGAACACAAATCACTCTTGAAAACCCTCATCCTGGACAAAATCTCGAACAATACCAACACTAATTCCTAGATGAAGACATAATGTAAACTCAATATTAATTATTGTATATAATGTTTTTTTTATAAATGTGATAATTTTTTTATAGGATAATGAATGCTTCTATTTCAATATCATCAGATAATCACTAGTTAGTAATAAAATTTAATAGCTATAAAAAATATAATTGTATAATATTTCAAAGTAAACAACAATAAATTTGCAATTTTAATATTAAATATATATAATACTTATTAAAAATTGCATATAATTTTATTTGAATTCAAAATAAAAAATTTATATAATTTTATATAAATTTATTTTACAAATAAAATCAGATCCACATGAAATCCATGTTGGATCCTTAAAACTACATAGAATAGTATATGTAAATTTTATATATATTTTTAATATAACTCCTGATGTTTTTCATTTTTATCAAAATTATGATTATCATGTAAAAGTTTGTGACAAATTTCATTCCCACCCAGATTTTTCAGAACAATAATTAACTTTTTCTAAATCTTGTGGTAAACTACTAAAATGAAAATGATGATATTTTGTTATATTAGGTAAATTTATAAAATTTTTGTTTGAAAAATTTTTTTGAAAATCAAACCATTTTCATCCAATTCCACCATTGTATCTAATTCTTTTGATTACATATTTATAATTTCTATATCATCAATAGCATTAGCTTTGTGATTTCAGTAAATTATTTGTATTTGTCCAAAAATGACTCACAAATAAATTTTGTATGACCAAGTAGTCGCGTACCATAAAATTAATGGTAATGCTATTGTACCAACCGGACATACATAAATAAAACCAAAAAAAAAAGTAAAAATTATTTTTATTCTATGTGATACAATTGCCACATATGTGTAATATTTAAATTTTTTTTTCCTATCTTTAACAAATATTTTAATTGCTTGATAAATTATATTTAATGTTGTATTAGTAGCTCCTTTTGCTACACCTTTAGGAAATTCATTTTCTCTAATAACAAAATCTAATTGTTTATTTTCTCCTCCTTCAGTTTTACAAACATCAAATAAATGAACAGCAAAAGCTGTTTTAAAGTCAACCTGTTGTGGTGAATATGGAACTGTTATATTTTGTGCCCAATTATAACAATTAATAAATATGTGCTATAGATAAATCATATTTGCTTTTTTCAAAATTATTGTTATAAGTTTTTTCTTGATGTTCTTCAAATTGGTTTTTTATAATATTAAATTTATCAATATCACCCTTTTGCTGTTTGCATTTTTGCTTTGAATTCTTCACATGTTTCACAAAGATCAGATGTGAGGGATTGAAATTGGTGATTAGGTATTAATTCATGCCAATGTCTACAAAATGTATTATCTCTTAAATGTTTTGCAGGCAAATTTCTGCCCCAGTTCAGCTTTGTTAATATAAAAATTGGCAGTGTTGGCCTTTACTTCAGCTTGCTTTTCTTTCTTACACTTTCAACTTGATAAGGTATAAGGTGGTGTGAGTTTATCCTTTGTTAGAAGCTGCGCTGGTTGTGATTGGTGCAATGGTTCATCAGAAATTACTATATATAGAGAATCTGTGTCATCATTTGTTTGATCAATGTCATTATGATCTAATGTGAAACTCATGTCTACAGCAATGTATTTCTGAAACTACCTGGAAGGTTCTGGCAAATTTGTCTATTGCTGTGTCAATGACTGTAAAGCTATATTCTTTGCATTGGTTTCTATGAGTTCGCATATACCAGGGTGAACTTTATAACTTTTGTTAAGTTGCTTGGTGGTAAGGAATTAACGTCACTCTAATGACCCTTCATCCATATATTTTATTGGGAGTAGCTTGGCAAAGAGTGGTCATAGGCAAGTTCTATACCATTCAGCACTTCTTTTAAGGTTGTGTGTATGTAATTTTTCAACTTTCCTAAGGGTATTCTTCAAAAACTGCTTCTTTTTTTGTGAGAAATTGTGGAATAGAGATCTATAGGGAAGAGATTTTTTTTCAATCCTTCTTTCATAAATTTGTTGATTTTAAATTAATATTGAAGGATATGAGTTAAAGGTATAATATCCAAAATATAAATTTTTGAAAATTATGAAAAATCCACCTATAATGCAGTAGGCTATAAAAATTTTGCCAGTATATGCAAATTGATATAATATCATTTAAGGATTAAGTATTTACTATTTAGATAAGTGAAATAGATGTAAAAATATGTTTGTTCTAATTCTAAAATCAGTATCCCAACATTAATAAATTATTAAAAAAGATAACAATATAAAAGAATTTTTTTTTTGAAGCTAATAAATACTCTAAAAAAAAATTCAAATAATAAGTAGTATATTGGTAGTTGAGATTTGTTTTTGTTGTTTGTTTTATGTAATTTAAAATGATTTCTAGTTTACTAAATAAAAAATGTAAGTTTAAATAATATATCATTATGGTTATTTTTTTCAACTCAAAAAGTAATAAGAATCTATAAACAGAATATTGCAGTATTTGTAATGTTCTATTTCCTTTTATTAATTAAATATTATCTAGTTAAGGTTGTATACTTGTATTATTCAGTTTATTATTAGACAATACATTGTATTAATAAAGATTAAATTGGTAAATAAATTATTTTGAGAAGGAATAATGTTTCAGCATGATTTTAAACTTTACTTAGGTCTCGTATTGAGATTCATAGTTGCTCTTTGAATGTTTGGCATAGTGGGCATGATTTTTAGAGATTTGAAAACATCTGATCTTTAAGATCTACATAATAAGCCTCTCTTTTGCTTTGGGCTCAGCCTTAAAATTTGGTTTAGACGTTTTATCATCTGTAAGAATGCCAGCATATTTGATACTTCATTAGAAATCTCTTGTTAAAAATGAAATATATTATGACAGGAATCACAGGATATTATATTTTAAAATAATAATGGGTTAAGTAGGTTGCAGTGGCTACAAGTATGATAATCCAACAATTATCACAATTATCATGTTTACCAGCAAATAATCCCTTTATTAACTAATTCATTATAAATTTATGGTTGAATATATATTGTCCAGTTCACCCAATTTTACTTGAAGAAAGGAATTCTTCCTTTAAAACAAGTGAGATATTTTTATTGGTAATAACTTAATGTGCAAATTTAGAGTTATGATTTTAATATGTAATGTAATAAAAAAATCTAATCTTGCATCTCCGAATTTATGAATATAATTCTCACTATTTTCATCTTTTTATATGGAATTATTAAAGAACCAAAACCAAATATCAACATATATTGATTAAAATTGAGGACTAATATATCAATATCCGCATTGGTCCAGTGGTTAGGATTTCATGCTTTCACCATGACGGCCGGGGTTCGATTCCCCGATGCGGAAAAGTAATAATAATAAATAAGTAATAAAATTTTTTTTTTTTTCTTATTATTGCATCAGAATAATGAGAATAATGTAAATATACAGTATGTATTTGGGCGAAATAATATCACTGTACCAGAGATGTAACTATAAACTGTTCTACAAATACGTATACATATTTCTGAGTCGACTTCCTTTTCTTCGTTTAGAAAATTTCGGTCATATACAGTCACATCATGCTTAGAGTTTTCCATAATGTATCCTCTTGTGATCTAACGACTGGTGTAATTTTTAAAAACAATAATAAAATCATCTTTGGATATCCATAAGCTTTTATCACTGCCAATTTATACTTTTTAATAACTTTTAATATATTCCATATAAGAAGACACTTAGTATGTTTATTATAATAGTATTTTAATATAAAAAATGTCTATAAATTATATTATTATTTGTGCATATTTTTTTTAAAAGATAATAATTTGAGACTATTAGTTTTAGGGAAAATATCTAAAAAGAAGTGAAAACTTAATGAATTTCAGATGATTTTATACTTTTTTTTTTCAGCAAATTGGCGAATGAAAAACCTACACATTTGATTTTCAATTAAGGTTTAGTTGCATTGGTTACTTTGCCACATATAAAGAAAAGCCTGAATTGCAACACAACACAAAAGTTACAGCCACAAAATTGCAAATGTTAATTAACAACAAATAATATGTAAAAATTATGCAAAACAATTTCATATAATTATGAGAGATATGGTATTTGAAAATCTTATTCGTTTATTTTGCATGTAAAACAACTTCAAGCAATTCATGGAATTTGTTGCATAAATTGTGAACATTACACAAGTGAATTTTAAGCTTGACAGAATATCAACTTACAGGAACCAGGCTTATAATGGAACTTCCTGGAACCAATCATGTATGTCAAAATAATTTAGGTACACGAGTTAAAATTAGGTTCATGTGATACAATACAGATAAAATGTCATTTTAAAAGCAGAGTAAATAGTAAATTAGTAATTATCTAGTGGGATCTTAAATTTCACTATAAGCCTGGCTATATATATATAGATGTCTATTAGCTCTACGCATTTCTTCAGGGCCGGCGCTATGCAATGCTGGTCCGCACTATCCAAAAAGGAAATGATCTACGGAATTTGGGCTGATATACCAAATTTTTTGCTGGGACTAAGCCAGATTCACTGCGTAATATTTATTTTATAGTTAATTTAGCCTTAATTATTAATTTATAAATAACGAAATTTAGTGATTATATAATTTTTTTAAATAATTTAGTCCTAAGTATAATTAATATTTCTCGAGATAAATCACAAACTTGATAAATTTTCAAATTTTCAAAGTATGTACAGTGTAAACCAATGATATCCTTTACAAGAAACTATTTGTTTCGTATTTGCTAGCTAAAGCGAAACTATGACATATAAATCAACAGAGCGGTAATAAATAAAAGGCAAAATAAAATTTTTTATGAAACTGATTGATTTATTTTATCACGTGTATAAGTTAATGAAAACTATACTCCACACAACTAATCTAATATTGTCATTTGCTTTTATAGAAATATATATTTTACTTCTGATTTAGACTGTTTCAAGCACCTTCCTCAATGATTTATCTAACGATTTGACCGACTAATGATCATTTAAGTCAAAAAAAACTCGGAGCTAAAAACAATCTGTTTTTCATAGGGTTGCTATGATTGGCTAAAATTATTCATCGAGAAAGAATAAAAAAAAATTCGAAAGAAAAAGGCATGTCCAGAAATTGTCTGGAAAATGTCGCTTGCTCAAGCGTACTTTCTTTTTCTATTTTTACATTATGGAACTTCAGCAGCAAGACCGTTACCAAAAAATTAGTATATTATTCTTTATATTACAACCACATTATAGCAAATAAAAGGTGTCAGAATATTCATATTCAATATTTATCACCTTCATAATCTTCAATTATACTATAACAAATGCAACTATCTATCCTGATCATTCTTTCTACACCATATACAAGGATGTTACGTTAGCTAAGAACCAAAAACTGAAGGGTTTTGATTGGATGAAGATAAGTCATCATAACTCATTTCGGAAACATTTTAGAATTTAATCTTACCACTCTTCATGCATTATAAATCGACTAAATTTTATTTCAGGTTCTTCTAATGCAACACCTGTATCTCAGATCCTTCTTGGATCTCCTGCGCAATGTAATGTTTGCTGTTGATTACCTGCTTATTCTATAGGTATGCGATTTTCTGCCCATCGGTTAATTAACTTATTGGTAGGTGGGAGTTTGAAATAGGACTTGATACATTAATCACAGCAGCAGGAGCAACTACAGCAGTGTTGAAAATGACGGATCTTGATGTACATTATGAGAAGCTAAAGCCGTCTAAAAAAAAATTTATTTTCGTAACTTGCTATACCATTTGTAGGATTGTTAGTTTCATACCGCCATTGTTGCAGTTGTTGCAATAACAAGTTATTTCATTGTTGTAATAGTGGCTTGTTGTTGACGTTGACGTTGAAATAATATATATTAGCTTTTCGCTATTGCTGAAAGGATAAATTATTTGTTAAATTTGTAACAAGTGAAACTGAAATTCTTTGCATGATAAAAGCAGGTGTAGGACTGGAAGAAGTAACAGAAGAATTCTCTCATATTATAAATAAAATCTAAACTATCTTTTTTCGCGTAATTTTCGAATCAAAATGCATTAATCTGGAAATATAAAATATGGATAAAAAATCTTGTACACATACAGTTGTTATGTTAACACGGCCATCATAGTAAAAAGCGACTGGGGTGATAGGCAATAAAAATGTAAAGCGCGAAAAGTCCTATATAAATATTAGGTGATTAATTTAAGTATAGCTTGTTTCTTTATAGCGGGACAAAACTTTGAAGAGTTTCGCTTTATTCTAGTTTTAAATATTATAAAATTTATAAATTTGCAATCATTTTTTTTTACTTTCGTTGCAATGTCATCAAAAAAATTATGAACAAAAGACGTGAAGGACATGAGTTAAACGAAAATTACAACATATCACATGACTTTCAAAAGAATTCCCGAATCATGATGTAATCTAATAATGTACTATAAACTACTAAAATTATGGCGCGTAAGAGTTAAATTCGAACATGTGATGTTCATCATTTGATTCGTTATTAAAAGTCAATCATAACGTTAACGGAACTGCTTGATTGAACGCAATTTTCTACTGTACCTAATAAACAATGTACAGTGTGTTACAAAAAAAACCAGAACACCGCGA